ACTCTGTTTCAGTAAGCTTCAGCCAAACCAAATTTTTACTGTTTTTTGAGGCCTAGAATCACAAAATCAGAGCATATGTTGAATTGGAAGGAACCTATCAGGATCATCAACTCCAGTTCTTGGCTCTGCACAAGACCCATGCCATGTGCTTGTTTCTAAATGTTTCTATTCTTCTTTGTTTTTTCTAAAAAATCTAAAAAAAAAACTAGAGGGCAATTAGAGATGAATGCACAAACACATCCCTCAAACTGTACCAAACTCACACAAAAAAGTAAAGGGGTTTTCCATACTGCAGTATTGTTGATGTGTCAGAGTGAAATTCTTTAGCTGTATACTCATCCATGGTGAAAAGTGAGAGAGAAAAAAATGATCAATAAGAGTATTTGTTGTGTCCTGTTTCCATTGTCATGCCCAGCAGAACCTTAAAGGCATTTTTTTATACATACCACTAATCAGAACAGAAAACAGCTCCTCCCAGTTTTGTATCATCTGTGAACTTGCTCAGCATCTCTTCCAGTCCTGTGTCTGAATCATTTATGAAGATGTTGAAGAGAACAGGGCTGAGAAGTCCTGCAGAACCCCACCAGTGCCACCTCCCTAGTCTGATATCATTCCATTCACTATATTCCTTTGTGCCTGAGCCAGTTGTTAAACCACCCAGTTAATAAACTCATCCCATGATGTGTTTATCCAGCTGTGGGTTGGATATTTGGTGAGCTTGTTCACTTTTCTTCATAGTCCAAAAGCTTCCAAAGAAAATTAGCATCTAGAAATAATCATAGAAATATGCAAAAAACAATACAGTATGAAATATATTTTCTAGAAGGCAGCATGTAAGAAAGAGAAAGAAAATGGCAAAAGACAGAAAAGTTAAGGATAGGTCACAAAAATTATACATAACCAATGCTTTCATGAATTGCAATTCTGTCTGTTTCTTGCCCACCAGTATTCCTTACACATAAATGAACTGTATATGAATAGGAATGTATATGGATAAACACTGAAAAGTAGGGTGGAAGAAATTTTCAGTGGAAGCCATGTAGAAACAAAGATTCAACTAGTAATATCTAAATACTGGCTACCCAGATTTCATAGTCCTCTTGATGTAAGATTCCTTGGAATACATACTTCTTTCCAGTTTTCGTACAAACTTAGAACAGTCTGTAAAAACCCCCCAAAAATCTGAAATTTATAAGATCTCACATATTTTCTGTAACTGTGAAGTGATAACACATGCACACAAATAAAAATATAAATATTTAAAGAACTTTTTGTATGGTCCCTGTCAAAAAGTGACTTACATTCTGGCATGGATTTTCTTTATGAGAGAAAATAGTATATTATATAAGTCTGATTAAAGGAAAAAAAGACATTAAGCATTAACTTCTATGCTGTGAAAAGCAGAAGAACCTACTAAAAATAAAAATAGTCAAAAAAAACCTGTTTAGATGTAGCACATAGATTCCCTATTAACTTAAAACTGCAGTAGATGATAATAAGAGATTGAGAAAAAGAAGTAATTGTAATGTAATAGTGTTGACTAGAAATATTCGCTTTGTAGAGAAAGTGATAACAAAAACTTGTATGATTATGAGATTTGGATATAGGAAATGTATAATGAAAAGCTCACCTACATGCAGGAAGGAATAAGGAGGAGTCTAACACAAACAGAGTACAAATCAAGAACAACCTAACTGTAAAATAGTCTTCCGTGGTAAAACCTGAAACAACAACATTAACCCTAATCTTAAGCACATTTTGTTAATTTAACTTTTCAGTATTGTGAAGTCTTGGTGAATTTTCTACTTTGTTTTTCAGCAGGAAGTCTGGAAGGCATCAGATTAGCTATGTACTGAGAGTTCAGATGGCAAAGAATTGAAGCTCAGGTGCTGCAATTCAAAAAAGAAAACAAGAAAACAAGTGGACAAGGCTTAATAACGTCATTGACTAAAATACTGGTTTGCAAGAGCATGAGTGTTTTTTTACTGCTTTTCTTCCATGAAGAATTCTTTGAAGGGCAGAGAAGGCAGGAATAGAGGATTTTCACTTACAACAATAATTAAATTAAACCTAATCAAACCATTTTATTATTTTCTGCTGAAGGCCAATATATTTAGCATCTTCTTCCATGCATAATAAATTACATTAGCTCTAGGCATTTTCAGCATGTTGATTTGCTAAAGATGTTCATATATATTCAGTGATATTCTTTGTAATATCCAGGTAAATATAACCAGAGGAGTCTTTTTTGTTTTGACAGGAAATAAAGCATTAAGTTAATTTGATTTATTTAAAATGTAAAAATTATAAATCTACCTACTGAGACATCTTTTAACCGTGAGACTTTGGTAAGGGCATTCCTACTTGTAGCAGCCATGTCGTTCCTTGCTGCAGTTGCAACATCAGAGGCTCAACACCACCCTTCATGTTTTCTCTGATTTCTTTATGAATCATAATCGCCTCAAAAAAGGAAAAAATCAACAAAACAACCAAAACAAATAAAACCAACCAACCAAAGAACCAACTCGAAGTTTGGCAGTAAGGTTCCACTTGTAATTTTAAAAAAACCAAATTGACCAATGACCACAGGTTTAGAAAGCAGCCATATTGCACACATTTCAGTTATGTGGTGAACTATTCGAAGATTATATCAAATTGCACAGATTGCAGTATTTAAATACCTTGCATCAATAGTATCTGTGTTAGTCATAAAAAATATATTATTAGAATAATATCATTACATATTGGGAATATCTTGAATATAAACAGTGGATGAAGTACAAATGTTTCTGCTGACTACACACACAACCAAGTATAAAATACCCATAGTACAATTTTCTTCTGTGAAGAAAGCATTACATTCATATAAACAATTCCCAAATAATATAAAAAAAATTTCAACTGCAAATTGTACCCAGCGTATTAAAAATTTCTTTTACAGTAAAGCTTGAAAATAACTATATCTCCTCCTCAGTTTGTTCTAATTTCCCCTCTTGTGTGGAAGCCTTGAAAATCCCATCTACTGTTTCTGAGATTAACCAAAACAAATTTTACCATCTTTTTACTGTGCAATTCAGACCTGCTGAATGTTCAAGTAACTTAGATTCCAAAACTACAAAAGATATATTGAAAATCTTATTTCTGGCCTTCATTCAGGAGATTTATATCATTTCTGATATAATATATATATATAAATATATATATAAATAATATATATAATATATATAATAAAAATATAAATACTCTTCAGCATTTTTAACAATTAGGCTAGTTAATTACAAAATTTTCAGAGATGGGTTGCATTTTAATGCATGCATCGTGACCTATAGCAATGTTTGTTTTCTAGAGTGTTAGTCAAGTCTATGGAACAGTATGAAAAGGGAATAAAAACTGATATTCTATACATTTGAAAAAGTAAGGCACTAAAAACTTACAGTGAAACTGAGGTACATTTTTCTTGAAGAGAAATTTTCCTGTACCTTTGCACAAATATATGTGACAAAAATGCATTCTATTTGATGCTTGGAGATTTTTATGCCTTCGTCCTGGATTGTAACTGAGCCTTAATTGAGTATATCACAAGTTTTGGATTTAGAATCTATATAAAACCATATCTGGAATGGTATTACTTGATAGCTTCTTAAACCAGCCTACAGCCCAAACATGCTTAATGGGGGTCTAAATGGGAAAGTAAAAAGATTAACTAAATCAGTATGTAGCAACATGATCATAATAGAGATTTCTCATCAACTTTCCATTTATTTTATATTAACATCTGAAAAAGCTATTTAAACATTAAAATTAATAAATCATAAAACAATAGAAATGCTTCATACAAAATAGTTTTATTTGAATCACAACTACCCACAATAGCTATGAATATCCCCATTCAAATTGCTACCATGAATACTGTATAAAATGAGAATAAACTAAAAGTAAAATTAGAATACTCCTTTATAAATTACTATATGTCAAGCTAACAAATGGTAGACTTGTCATATTGAACAACTAAATGTCTAAATGATCATTCAGCACTCATAGTGTAGGGAAAAAAACACTAGCTTTGTTGGCTATAAAGCAGTTGCTCGATTTTTCATACTGTCATTCTGCTCTATTAGCAAAGCCTAACACAATTAGGTATGAATATGCAGTAATAACATGCAAATTGTTCCCTCTCAATTGCCCCAAGGCAGCCGTCTCAGCCTTTCAAAGCTTGATTTCTTCTACATCATTACAGGCTTGGCATAATTCATCAGAATAAAAAAATACCTCAGCCTTATTGCATGTGGCCAGCTAGTAAAATCATCAGTAGTTGTTAACCATTCTCCCTCAATAGGTTTGTTAGCAACGCTGTCCCCAGCTCCCTGCCACTTCTGCACTTGTACATGTTTCCCTTGGGTAATGTTAGACACTACATTTGAGCCTGCCAGAACAATTAACCCTACTGTTAATTAGAATGAAATGTCAGGCGCACAGATGGTACAAGCTGGCACCCTGCCATCCCGCCAACTGCTGCTGAAAGCAGCTACCCCACTGCTGACAGCTGTTCAGCTATGTCCCAAACCAGCAGATGTCAAAACTTTCCAGCTGAGGAAAGTGAAAAAAAAGCAGTGATGGGTGTTTCTAGTCCCAGCAGTAATGATCACTGTTTTACTGTTATTGTATCTATTACCTGTTGTCATATTGTACCCATCAAGTGGAGGCATCAAGCAGCAAGATGCAAATTAAAAATGATACCCGAAGTGAATAAATGTAAAACTGCTTTCCAACCTAATTCTATACAACTGTAAAAAGAATGGGAGAAAAATATATCTATATGATTTCTTTAGAAACTATGTTTTGTCAATTCAGTCTTTATTTTAAACAAAGTTGTATGATGATACATTGTGTTAAAAGTATTACTCCAGATATTTGTACACTGGAGTAAGACAGTCCAGCATGTAGAAAACTGCAAAATCTTAGTAGCATGAGCAATTTTCATACTTTATTTTTCTTATGTCAATTTGATTGAAATTTCTTAACATTATGAGACATCAAGAAACACAAATACAGTGCTACTACAAGTCAGAAGATAGCCTAATCCTCTCACTGTCTAGGCATTCAATATTCTCCATAACCAGCTTAAGCTGATATGTGTAAAGGAAGGATTCCAGAAGATTCTTCTGGTGTGAATCAGGATCCTTATTCTGGTAACTATGCTTTGTTTGTTTAAATTCCTCTTTGATTTTAGAAAATATGCTTTGGTTTTCAGATTTTTGTATTTGAAAATTTTAGTGGGAAGACAGATACATTTCTGCAGTGTGAAAAATTCTCTATGTTCTTCATAGCTGCATAAAGATGGAATGAATGGTTTCTTTAGTATTCCTTTAAAAGATCCTATTATGCAACTTTTGGCAATCAAAATATAAATCCTGTGTTTTACAAAAAATATTAGAGGTTTTTTTTTTTTTCTTATGTACTGTCTTAATTGAATTAACTGTTCAGCAAGAAGATAAGATTATGTTCTTATGTAACAAAGACTATCATGGGAGCCTGAATAAAAAAGAAAGGTATCACATAATTTAACAAAAATATTGAGAATATATTTGGTTTTATTGTATTATTGTAATATCTGTGAAAATGACACTGTGAATTAGAAAGTTTGCATTAAATACTTTGGCTTTCTTAAGAAATTTTGAGAAATAAGTTTTTGAAAAGATACCTCTGGTTAGAACAAATTAAAGACAATTGAAAAATTACTAAATAACGAATATGTGTTAAAATTTGTGAGATCTGCCTGTTTCTTTGTTTTTTCTGAAAACATTTTTCATATACTACTGTATACATTCTCTCTCAAATATATCGGTTTTGAATCTGCCTCATCTCTTCGTGAGACAGGCATATGGTAATGTGTGAAATTTATATTTAGCATAGATCTCTAGTGTTAAATTATTATGCATTTGACTTAGACTTGTTTGGTTTCATATATACTCTCAGTTTATGTGCTGTTAATAAATTAATTACTTCCGTATTCTATTATTAGTTTGGCTTTGATTTAGATTAGGGTTTTTTCCCACATGTAGGTAGTTAAAATACTAACTTTACAATGGAGTATCTTAAGAAATAGACATTACTAATATTTACAACATCAAACTGCTAATGGTTCATTGCACTCCTGCTGTGCACTAGAAAGAAATGTTTTTACTAGAAATTTTCATTTAAAATAATAATATTGAAAATATAATATGTTATATTTTAATATAATATTAATATAATAAAGTAATTTATCTAAATAAAATATATTAATTTTTCTATTTTGATATTATTATATATTGTGGTTTATATTACATTAATATAAAATATAATAACAGTTAAAAGAAATTATCATATTTTGATTTGCTAAGTGCAGCAAAATCATAGTTTGCTTAGAGCATACTTGGTCATCTTCTGTGCTGATGAAAACCTATATATGCTATGGTTTCAGAGGGCTGAGACTGCTCATTGCAGTAGGCAGAGCTTGATATGAACACTTAGACCAGAATCTTGCCAGATATCACTTCTAGCTTTATAAACAATTCATAACTGTCAGGGATAAACTACCCAGAGGAATTTAAAAGAACAACAGACACAGTTGTCTTCAATGACCATAGAAACATTTAAATCTGAGGATAACTATCAGCCCACCTCAGCCTTGCCAAAGAATGTAACTGGATACAAGACTCTTGACCCACTTCCCTTTCTCAGGTCAGGGAGCTTTACTGAGTTATTGCCTGTGCTTGATATGCTGAGGAAAGATGTTTGTTGGAGGCTTCAAGTATTATTTTGAGGAGTATATTGCATCTTTTGAGAATATAAGAAGAGAGCTTAGGAAAACCATTCTTGTTTCTATTTGTCTAGATGTAGGAAGGATTTGTGAGGAGTCCTTGCTGACATGGTGTGTGTGGTGCATGTAGGTAGCTGCCACTCTGGTCGCAAAGGCCCATATGGCATTTGTTGTGTTGAACTAGAAGAAATTTCAATGTGAATGTTCTTTGGCAGCTTCCCAACACAGATTTTGCTAGTAAAGGAGCAGTGACTCTCCCATGAGCTTGGAGTGGGCACCCACTTAGTGACTTGCTGCCCTCAAGCCTGGGCTCTCTGCAAGACCACAACCCTGCAGTAGCGCAGGGCCAAGCTGAAAGTCAGTGAGGTCCTGGGCTGTTCTCTCCGGGCAAGTGGCACTCAGTATAGCCTGCAGCAGCAGCCACAATACCTACTAACAAATTGCTAAAAATTACCTAAGGCCATGTGACAGGCATCATACAGAGCTATGAATGATGTATATGGCCCCTGTGCATTTAAGGATGACTTTGAGGACACAAGCAGCAAAGAGAGAGCAGTGGCAGGTCTGCAGCATGGCACTGCAGATCTTTATAAACAGGCACCTGTCGTGGATTCACTTCAAATCAATAGCTAGCTGATTGGGAAGACTCTGTTCCACAGAGACAAGCAGCACCATTTTTGTGAGGTTGTGCCAAAGTATTTACAATGGATTTCAGCAGAAGATTTTGAAGAAGGCAAGGGCTACCAACTACAGTTATTCCTGAAAGATATCACTTAATACTTCACCAAGTAGGGTTTGCATTACTGTAAATCCCCTCTCTACGTGTACAGTTACCTAATTCTTGGCTTCAAAACTCAAAGGAAGCTGAGGCAAAGGACCGTGAAGTAAAGGTACACAGGAGCTGTGGCTCCTTAAGGGCACAATGCCTCCTTTAAACTGCTTTTGTCTGAAACCATTTGTCTGAGTAAGATATTCCCATAGGGTCTCTGACACCATTTGCTGTGGTGCAGAAGCACCAGAAGCAGCAGAAAGAACATAGAGCCCTTGTTGCTAAAAGCACTGGAGAGTTCCCATGGGTGTGCAGGGGGTGCAGCTACATTGGAAGATGTTACGTTATCATGCATGCATGCATGGAATAGGCAGGAGTGGGGACAAGGCAAGCTCACTGTGCTACAGCAGTAGGGCACCATCACAGTTTGCTCCTCATGACACATGTGGGAGCCTGCTCCATAGCATGATGGCATCAACACTGCCAGAGCAAGACCCAAGTTGTTTTCTGAGCAAAGCACAAGTCGGCCATGAGCATGAAAAGTGTTTGTTCTTATTCACTTGGGGTCTTCCTTTCTCCAGCACCAGCAAACAATATTTTATATACTATAAAGAAGTTGCCTTTTTTGTCTAGACTGAATTGAAAGACCAATACAAGCTCTAACTAGCTCCACATTTCAGACAAAAAAGGAATCTGAAGAATTTTAGAAGGTCTGTGCAAAGGTGGGATAACAGCAGACTAGATTTAATTGGTTGGTTCTTGTTACAAATTAAGTGTTATAGAATTAAATTAATGTTTTGAATTACTTCTAAGACTTTCTTTGATAGCAGATTAATTTGAGTACACCTGAGACAACATAATAGACAAACAGTGAAGACTTTTTACTGCTTCATACACATAAGAATGACATGGACAGATGATGCTGATTAAAGGGTCAGGCTGAAGGTTCCTTTTTAATAGAAGTATGTTTCCAAATACAATACTTTTTACATCCCATGAACAGGAAACACTAGAATCCCTTGTCAACCTCCCTAAGAAGGTTAGCTGGACAAACACCTAGTCACAGGATCCAAAGGCTTTTCCTAAAATTCAAGTTATCATGCAGATAGTCATGGTTTGTCTTGCATAAGAGCTCTCAGATGGGGTTGAGTTATTCAGAGGCACAGAAACTAACTCTCTAAAACACTTGTTGCTGTTGATCAGTAATTTCTCACCTAGCTTCTGTAAGCAAGGAGGGAGCAGCACTGACTAATTTTGGTACAGCTCTTACCGCTTTTTCTCATCCTTTCTTCTCTTCATCTTGAAATTTCTTATTTACCCAGGAAGGAAGGTATTCCGCAAAAACAAAGTATACCTGGTAAATGAAATAAAAAATGAGGCTGAAACTATTGTAACTATATAAGAATCCTCACAGAAGGTTCAAGATTTAAGCCAGTGAAATAAGATTTCATAGATGGAAAGAAATAATGCTATACAAAAGAAGGAATTTAAGTAAAACCCTTTTTTTAAAAAAACTCTCAGAAATTTTTCTTCTTTATATCCCGGGGGAAAATGTATTAAAAATCTAAAACAAAACAAAAAAAAACCAAAGAAGATAGCATCAAAGTCAGTAGCTTTTTTTCTACAGAATTACTTTAAGGAAAACTCAAAGTTCAAAATTAGACATTAAACCTTACCTAAAGAGTAATAATGCGGTATCATACATACATTTTGGCTAACAGATAGTCTAGTAAAACTAAAGTCTAGGGTTACTGTCACCTTCTGTTGGGCCAAGATTCAACAAAAATGTACATGAGATTTCTTTTTATTCTGTTTCTCTCATATAAGAAGAAAGACATAGTGGAGCACTTACCACACTAACGGAGAGAGACACCACATTTTAAACTAGTTGATTTCTCAACTTTGGTAAATGAAGGACAAAAAATTGATTTGAAAAACCCAGCAGAAGTGTCTTCCCCCTCCCTTGCTGCTAAGAAAGGTACTTGAACTCGTGCCATCTCACAAACAACTGTCAGATGTTTCAAACCCACACAGCTCCTCAGGGCATTCAACACTTTTATATGAATCAAGGACATTGGTTATGTGCTTTGGATCAGAGGGCTGATAATATGCATAGTGAATGCATCTCAGACATAAAGGATCTCATTTATGTTTGCAGGGTATACTGCTTCAAGCACAAAACAAAGTATGTTCTCTGGGATTCAAGCTGTATATACTCTCCCATGTCTAGTCTGTTGTTGCAATGTATGTTCACAATATCTGAGAACCACACGTAGTCCTTGCCATAATGAAATTTCTGATCAATACGTCCTCTACCACATTTATGTTACTATACATTATTTTCAAGCTTCTGTTCAGATCTCATCCAAAGACTAAAATTTTTAAACACTGTAGGCAATGGTATTCAGTTAAAAATATTCTATTAACAATTACTGATTTTACTAAAACTGACAATTAGTGAATTAGTGAATAGACAAATAGTGAAACAATCTAGTGAAAAAAACTCACAGGCTTTAAGTGTCTCAGATAAACCACTTAAAAGACCATTAAAAAGGTAAACTATTTTAACAGATTTTATTCTCTCTGTACAGTACATGAGTACATATTCTGAACACGAATTCTTCTGTCTACAAGCTCAAGGAAAAAATGAAATTTCAATGGCTACTATCAATTTAAGTCTACATTAATCCTCTAGATTTTCTTCAAGTACTTGTTTAAATTAGAGTTGACACCTATTTCAAATCATGCCTTTCTGAAATCCTTATTAATAAGTCACCACTATTTTAAAATATTCATCATCAAAATTAGGTCAGATGATTAAGGGATTATTCCTACAAAGCCTGAAATTTAGAGTGTCTGAACACCCATATTTTCAGTGACTTAAGTGGAAGAGGTACTTCCTCAAAAGCTGCATGATTATGTTTAGACCTTGGAGACATAAGACTCCGAGCTCTATTTCCTCATATTTACTTATTTACATTTAAAAATTTTTGTATTGACCATTAGGATGATTTAGTTAGATATTGGGTTTTTATGATTTATTTTTCTTTACTCATCAGGATTCTCTTAACTTTTTGATCTAAAGTATCCTCAAGGTGTGAAAAACAAAGGACTGAATTCTCTTGCATCTTGTATTCTCTTCAACATCACACTGTGCGTGGATGGGAGTGTGTGGGGGAAGAGGGGAGAGAAAAGGACAGGGACCCCACTATTTGTGTGTCTGTTTCCCAGCAAAATATAATCCAAGTAAAAAAAAAAAACCAGAAAGCCAAATCCAAACAAAAATAATAATAATTTTAAAACCACACAAACAAAAACCCCAAACAACAACTAAATATGAAAGCAAGTAGTGCTTTCTTAGTGACAAAATAAACATAATTGCTGCAAAATAAATAGTGTAAGGCTGGCAAAATAATACTCTGATATGGATAACACTTGTCATTACTAGAGTTACTACATTTTGCAAATATCATATGCTTTACGAAGAATCTAAGGGGAATCTACGCGGACTTTTTTAAAGTATGCCTGTTAAAAAAATACATTAATTTATATTTTAAACTTAAACATGCAAATATTTTTCTCTGAGCAGTATTTTTGTCAAAAATAAGAATATGGCATACTTCTTCCTGTCTTGTCACTTTTTTTCTACTTTTTTCTTTAAGCCAAAAGGATTTCCACAATTCTTTTGCTTTGCAGCTACAAGATCCTGAATTCTGTAATAATATCCCCTTCCCAGTAGCCATTTCCTTCTTCTCCAAAAGGTCATTACAGAATTACAGGATGTGTTCCTGTCTCCCCTAGGGCTTATGCACAATTCCTCATAAACATAAAAGTGAATGAATACCATGGTTGAATAACACATTTTAATAACGGTACATTACTGAATTTGAAAGTGTGACCTATTTGGTATATTCACAGAATACTATAAAAATAAAAGTGCAGTACAAAACGTAAAATATACGAAATGTGCTAACATAAAAAAACCACACAGGCTCGTGGAGAGAAATAAATTGGATATATTTCCAGACACATGCATAGAATATTAAATTTATAAATATAGATTAATGCACTTTACAATATTTAATCTGAAGAATTTCTGAAGAATGATCTAATCAGCTAGGAAGGTTTAAAGGTGCCACGTAACTATAGTTGTAAGTATGCCCTTACTCCTGATCTTACAATGTACTTAGTAACTTGTATTTCACTAATGCTGTTTCTACCACTACAAGCAATTTATTCTACCTCACATTCATCAAGTGCTCATAAATCAGCATTAGGCCACTTTTTTACTGAGTTGCTGACTTTTAGCCAGCAGACAGCAGCATTTGGATTCAAAGTCTAATATTGGCACACATATTGATTTTAATTAGTCTAATTAGTTCATTACACTAAAAATCAAACAGACCATTTATTACATTCCCAACTAATGACATATGATCAAGGATTTAATATGATAATGAGTAAGATCAATTATCACTCATAAAGGAAGTCATTAACAAGTGTAAACACTGCCTAACTGAATACTATTACAAATTATGAAGTCACAGCTAGATCATTTGCATAAGCATACTAATTTTATTTCATGATATTCCTTCAATTTAATACTCTGAATACCTTTCATAAAGCTCCTTTTCTTTTTTTTTTTTTTTTTTATAGACGATTTAGAGCTGTAAATTCAATTCTTATTGTCAGTACTGAAATTTTTCACTACAGAGACCTTAAACTCTATGCTATTAAATTCAGGTTTAAGCAAACCAGACAATATCTATGGACACTTTCAGAACATTAGAAGAAGGAAATGGGATTTCCAGTTGAACCAAAGTGGATCCAAGAGTATTTGTCTACAGGGGAAAATTCAAGAACAACTTTCTTTGTGGTCTGAGATATTTCACATGAAAAACTGAGCTAGTGGTAGAAGTCAGCCCTGCCATGGCTGTTTATCAATATAAAGAGAAGGTAGCAGCATCTGCTAGAGTACTTTCACTTTACTGTAGAAACTTCATATTTCAAACTTTTAACATACAATTGACAACACAAGCTATGAGTATATTAATATTCTACTATCCTTACATTTCCAATAGTGAATTCTAATCCATATTCTATTTGAATTTTTCCAAGGTCCCTGTCACCATCATTATCAATTCTGTATCTTACAACAGCATCTAAGATATCAATTAAAATCATAGCAATTACACTTGTTATTATAGCAGAATTCTATTCTATTAAAGCAGAATCATATCTAAGTGGTGCACAACAATCAAGAAGGTAAAGGATAAACCCTCAATCTGCCTAAGCTATTTTTCTCCTGTTCTAGAATACAATGGCTTCAGAATACTTTTCATATGCATTTCTCTATACCAGAAAACATTCATTGAATGCATGATACAGAGCTACCTAACATGTATATATATCACATGTCACTCAGTTTTTATAAAATGCAGAGGGAATTTTTTTCTTTTGTTGTGGTTTTCTTTAAGAAACTGGAAGAAGTCTCCATTTTCATGAAGCCCTTTAAAGATTTTTAAATGTAGAAATTGTAACACACAGTACCGTTAGCAGATGTTTAAATCCACGGGGTGCAAGAAAAATTTAATTTATTACTACAGATTAGAACTTCACTCTAGAAGAAAAAAGCTTTTCAGTATAAATCTGCATTTTTATTCCATTAAATTATCTTGCTGGTTCTTAAGTCTGCTTTTTCTAGAAGCAGCACACATTAATACATTTAACAGCATCTAATCTGCATCAATGACAAGGGCTTCTACAGCTACTGTGTTTGCCAAAAACTGAAAGCAGTTTCTTCAGGTTCTTTATGTTTCTTACCAGGCTTCAACCTTTGATAGCACAATCAAAAAATATTCAGCACTTCAGGGAAATAAACTCATTAATATCAAATTAATCCTTTCCCTAAATTCTAACACAAAACCTAGAGTAGATGCACATTCTTTCTACTAAGTTTCATACAAAATAAAAACTCAATATTTCTTACATTAGTGCATCCTTGTAACTAATAATTTAGGAAATATGCAAAACATGATCTACAGCACTTTTGCACCATTTATTGATGCAGATGACACTCCCCTGCAGAGCTGGCATGTCCTTGGTTTAAGTGTTATATGGTCCCTAGACTGTTAAGACTGTAAACCAGAAGTGCCCAGAAGGTTGGAGTGCAAGGGTCAATGTACTTAAGTTAGTACATTCAGTGTTGGTCTTAGGCACTGGGGTAATTGGCATACAGGCCACGTATTCCAAGATAACAGCTTCAAACTCTGCTCTTTGGCAGAAGGCTCTTCAGAGGCCATGTTTAGAAGCAGCATTCAAATATACTTCAGAGCACATGCAGCATGGATATTAAAACTGATATAGTAACATAATGACCACTTGCAGCAGTGTTCCATCAAGTCTTTAATAAACTCTTAATAAATCCTTCTTGCAATTTTTCTTACTATCTTCTTTATTTCAGGAAAGAAATGTCTAGGAAATACCTTACTAGTAAATTGCATTTCCAGTAAGGGACTAAAATTATGAATAGTGTTTAGTGACTGATATTGCAAGTAATTTAAAATGCCAACATTCTTTCTTTAAATTTATAGTTAAATACACAGTTTTTATTCATGTTATTCTGACATGTCTTAAAACCAGCTTTTCTTCAAAGGGTTGGTAACATAGGCAGCTACGGTCAGTCAGATCATTTGCTGTTTCTAAGCAAATTGCTTGGAAGTTCCAAATGCTTGGGAGATTTTACTCCAACTGATTATGAGGCAAACAAAGTAAGCATTGCAACTTTGAAAGGAATACCTCTTAGACAGTCTGATAGTTGCTTTCAACAAAGGAGAATAGGTCTGTGACTCATAATGGATGGCCAAAGGCAATGTTTTTTGATTCTACTGACCTTTCAACACTCTAAGGACAGGAAGTATAAATCTAATGATTAAGTCACAGGCTGCTACACTAGACACTAAAAGACTACTTTGTAAAGGAAAAAAAATAGACCAAATTAGTAACACAAGATGGAATTTCACACAATAGTTATCATTTTAATGAGCTCTTCAGTGAAGTTTAAATATTTGTAATAGTAAATGATGATTGTTTTTAACTCTCTTACAGTCCAATTGCTCTCACAGGTACTCAAGTAATGAACAAACACAAGTAATAGAATAAGGGATAAAATAATTTTTCTGTTCTAAAACATTTGCCACACATTTTACTACATACATTGATTACTTCTATATACATCATCATACTTCTATCCTGCAGGTCAATCACTATTCAATAACAATTTTTTCCAGTGCCTAATTCAATACATGCATGAAACATGGGTTTTTCTTCTTTTCTTTTAAAATGCATTTTTAATATTACATATTTTAGATTAAACAAAAGCTAGAATTAAGCTTCTTTTAATGGATTTGACTTTCCCAGTCTGTTGTTACACTTCTTTCAGGGCTTCATCCAACAGGTTTTCAACTGTATTCTGATTACTGGCCCAGCTTTAACCAGAAGAGTCATGCCAACTGGAAAAATTTGTTCTGGTACAGTGGACAAAATGTAGATCAGTCGGAGAAAGAACTATGAAACCTGTTAAAAAGAATAAGTAATTAAACCTAAGTTTCCCCTTGTTTTAACTACATTTATGTGCAAAGAATCATCTTTATTTCCTTATTCATTTCTGATATGCTTTAAACAACATAAACATGACTGATTTTACAGCAGCAGAGCAACTCCAAATAACTAAATATTAAATTTACCCCATAACAAGTTATTAAATCCCCTTTTGATGTTCTTCACTCCTATTTTAACATTTTTCCACATGCTTTAAAAAACTTCTACTGTCAAAGGTCCCATCTATTATCAGTACTTCTCTACCACCTTGGCTGCCAAGAGTTGTAGGGCAATAAAAAGCAAAAGTGCTAAGAAGACTGAGAAAGACCACAGGCAGAAAAGAAACCCAAGAGAAAAGAAAACCACAAACTTGTATGATTGGATTTAAGACCAAAGCTCTTGAAGGTTTTTTTTTGTCAACATATTCAGCCTTGGAAACTGCAGGAGAGGTAATCACAGAAGCCACTCTCACAGGCTCAAAGCCTGTAGCAAGAATCAGTGATGTTGGAAGGTGTACAGAGACAGTACCTGTTTTTCAACATGTCAGCGGTTTCAAGAATAACAAATCAAAGACTACTGCTGTCTTCTACCATGAAAACACTGAGGTAACCACTTGAAAGATGCTCAAAAATATAATTTTATTTTGAGTTTAACAAATACAAGACAATAAATATGAGTAAGGAATATCTCAAAAAGCAGCTGTTTTGCATCAGGCCATTGTAGCATGACATGAGTTGCATTTATGTCCACCACCTTCTCTGAACAGCTCTGCTAGTCAGTCCATGATTCATCTAATCCAGTCTGAGCTGCAGATAACTTTCCTCCATCTTTCAGTCAGATGAACTAAAGAACCACCTGCTTTTTCTATGACACTTGAAAGACAGGAAATAAGACAGTGGCACTTGAAATTCTAGCTCCTTCAAAATGGCTTCTCTGGTAGTATCAATGCTGCACTACAATATAGAATTATAATACTATATAAATGTATGTTAAAAAGAAATACTAATGATCATTGAGTGCTTTGGGTGGAAGGGGACCCTAGAGATCACCTAGTTCCTACTCCTCTGCCATGGGCAGAATCATCTTGCACTAGACCAGGTTGCTCAAAGCACCACCTAATCTAGCCTTAGATACTTCCAGGGATGAGGCTTCTATGAGCAACTAGTTCCTCACAACCACCATAGAATACAATTTCTCTATTATATCTCATCAGGACCTATCCTTTTTCAATGTAAAGCCATTACCTCCCCTCCTATCACTACACTCCTTGATCAAATGTCCCATTCCATCTATCCTGTAAGATTACCATAGGAGCTGGAAGGCTGTGTTAAGGTCTATCCAGCACCTTCTCTTCTACACCCTAAACAATCTTAACTCTCTCAGACTGTCCTGAGAAAAATGTTGCAGTCTCCTATTACTTTCACAGCCCTCCTCTGGAACTGCTCCTGACGGTCTGTGTTCTTTCTTATGCTAGCAACCGCAGACCTGAACACAGGATTTCAGGTGAGGTCTCACAACCTAACCTTGGACCCTCAGGATACCTTTATGTGAGCATCACAAATATGTGAACATCACAAATGAATTTCAGATGGTCTTACTCAGAAGTTTCTATTGCATATGTATACACAAGCTTAAAATCCTCAGCAATCTCCACATATAGTTTATCCTTCACATGGAATTCAGACAGTAAAATTATGAGTTTTAACAAAAAAGAGACAAGTTTTTGAAAATACCAGTACAAAATAACTAAAAAAAAAAATCTATCTTACTGAAAGTAAAACCTAATAGGCTTGCTTGTCTTTTTAAGTACCTGCACAAGACTAAAAAATAGACTTTCTACATAAACACAGTACAAAGAGTTCTACAAAGTTGAGTTTTGCTACTTAGAAAGAAATAAGACTGGTAAAACCACATTGTATACCAATCAGAATGAAAACATACAGCCATTTTGGCATAAACAGAGGCTATGAATCCTTTGTTAGTATATCTAAATGGAGTACTGTAAATGCCAAGTTAAAATGATGCATTTATTTTAACTGAGATTCTACCACATTAAAAGAAAAAAAATTAATTTTCATCAAGCTGTTTTTTCCTGATGAGAAAAGAAATATAAGCCTACCCTTCAAAAAACTGTTTAATAAAACACACGCATTATATACATGAAATAAAATATCTTGATTTAGTTAAATGCAAGTCAAGAGTACTGCTTTTATATTAAAAACAAAACTGGAAGAATAAACAACAGCACCCAAAGACCATCTCAGTTCATTCAGTCCGGACTTTTCAGCTTTGCAGAAGAAAATCACTTCCTGATTCTTGCATGCATTTTTATTTCAGAATTTCTTCTATTCTTCTATGGGTTGTTCCAAACTCAGTACACATGAGTATCAGATTATATCTTTTAAAAACATTTTGGATCAAATTATGGCTTTCACACTTAATTTTGTCAAGTTTATGATCTCTATGAAAAGGTCATAAACTATCAAATTGCTCCAAGTAGTGATGCACCACTTCTTAACAACTTATCTACAAAGGATAAACAATTTGACTCCACAAACATTTGTTTATATAAAATTGGTGAATTTGCTCATCAGGATATGGACTATCGCCTAGACAATGGAAAAGTCCTTAAAGGCATCAATGTTGTTCTTCATTTCAAGATATTTTAACTGTGTCTGGGATCTACTATCAACAATCAAGCTTTAAAAAATGTCTCTACTATATTACTATTCCAAATGCAAGATAGTAGTCTTGAATTATGGACTGCTACACAAATTTAAAAAAAATAATTGATTGAATAGTGGAGCTCAGGGGGTTCATGTAATAAAATTTACCTGGAGGCCAGCAACAAGTGGGATGGGCCAACAACTAAAGGGAGGTGTATTGAGAACTCTCCTCTCTAAGAATCCCAACAATAACCTAGAGGAGAACAGAGAGTATCCTCTAATTGAGTCAGCAGATGACACCAAACTGGAGAGAGCTGCATAGATATGCTCGAGGGTGGAGCTTCTAGTCAGAGTGGTGTGGACAAGACAATGGTCAAACACAAACTGTGTGGGCAAAGGCTAAGTCCTGCAGCTGGGAAAAAATTCCTGGTGCCACTACAAGCTGTGAGCGGTAAGAGTCTGGGGTGCAGCTCTTATGGAAAAGACCTGTCTTAGCAGTGAACTGAAATGAGCCTGCAGTGTATCCTGGCAGCAAAGGCAGCCAACGACATCCAAGGCTATGTGGAGCCAGTAGACCAGAGAAGTCCCTTCAGCACTTTATCCCAGTACTTGCTAGCTGGCCTCCTATTTTGCTGCCTCCTCCTCTACAAGAAAGCCATTTATAAACTGGAATATGCTAGTGGAGTGATACCAAGATGATCAGGGGACAGAGCACATACCCTGTGACACACAAATAATATTTAAATTGAAGAAAGAAAGGTTGCGACTGGATGTTGGGAAATTTCAACCTATAGGCCAGTCAAATACTGGAACAGGTTGCCCAGATAGGTTATGCAGATTCCATCCTTAGAAATTTGCAGTCCCAGACTGCATAAAGTCTTACTTACAGCCTATCCTGCTTTGAGGAGGGAGTTGGCCTTTTGAAATCCTTTCTAACCTGAACCAGTATTCTAAGTTTGAAACTGATCTACACAACCAGCCTCAAGATCTAAAGATTTAAGTCATAACAGGCATCAGAAGAGCATTTCTATGTAAATATTATTGCCGTTCATTCACTTAAGTGGGAAGAAATCTTTTTCCACCTGATTTTTCACTGAAAACCACTTTACACTATGGTTTTGCATTGTCTACTGACTTGAACAATGCTTGAAATGGCCTAATGTATAATCCATCAAATAACATCACAAATGTGCAACCTTCATAGGGCCCCAGAGACTAGTTAGAATTTTGTAAGCATTCAGCTGTGTACCTTAGACATTTTGATTAAGATGTTAAAAAGATACAAAAAGAAAAGTGCTCCGAGTCTTTCAATCACAAGGATGTTAAATATCCGTCAGTGTTGGAAACTTGCCTTTGATGACAATATTTCATCATCTTGTTGTGTATTAGTACTTCACAGAACAGAATACTCAGAAGGGAAATACCTATTCACTTCATCTGCCTTTTTGTAAAATACAGACATTTCCTTAAAAGATTGGGTTTTTTCATGTGATTTTTGTAATAGCAGAAAGACAAGGCTGTGTCTTTGAAAATACCAGACAAATGAGGTTAACAGACTTTTTTCTGTTTTTGTCTGGTGTTGGTGTTTATATCTTGGTTGGTTTTTTGGTGGTTTTTTTTTTGGGTTTTGTTTGTTTGTTTGTTTGTTTGTTTGTTTTTTTGTCAAGACCTCTTTTCCCATAAACTGTGACTTAAATTTACAGGAGAAACTGTACCTTCTGGAAAAAGAGCAAAGGGTTGTACTTTCCCAGGTATATTCCTCGTCTTTGGTTACATTCAGGCCACTAGTTGAAATCCATACTGACCAGGAATTCTGGGAAATGTAAATCCTGACAGAAACAGAAAGTGTATATATATATAAATAAAATGTCTAAATTATCTTTATTAACCTTAGCCTGTACTGCAATCTTCTATCTTCATAGCAATTACCAGAATTAATTTACCTTAATAACTCAAAGCACCCTTTAGTTCTCTGACATATTCTTTTGTCTCCAACAAGTTAGGAAGAAAAGTTTGATTAGAACCTGTTAAAACACTACTTAATAAAATAGTAAAGCAAGGCATGATTTACTGAATGGGTTTTGGCTGGGGTAGAGTTAATTTTCTTCATAGTATTAAGGGATTGGTTTTGGATTTGTGCTGGAAACTGTTGGTAATTCATGTATGACTTAGCTATTTCTGCATAGTTCTTATACAGAACCAAGGTCTCTTCTGCTTCTTACCTCACCCCACCAGCAAACAAGCCTGGGGTGCACAAGGATTTAGGAGTAGTCACAGCCAAGACACCTGACCCCAAGTGACCATTGGGATATTCCATATCATATGGCATCATGGGCAAAATTTAAACATAGGGGAAAAGAAGGAGGAGAAGCTCAGAGTTATGGTGGTTGTTTTCCCAAGGAACAATTACATGGAGCTTAGCCTTCTTAGAGATGGCTGAACATCTGCCCACCCATGGGAAGTGGGAAATGGATTCTTTACTTGGGTTTGCTTGTGTGCACAACTTTTGCTTTACCTATTAAAATGTCATTATCTCAACCCTTGAATTTTCTCTTTTTTTTTTCTACTTTTCCCATTCTCTCCACCATCCCCTGAAGAGCAGAGTGGGGGAAGGTGAATGTGTGCCTGCATGGTGCTTAGTTTTCCACTGCAGTTAAACCATGACATTTACAATAGCTGCTTACAATGGCAGCTATTACAAGTTAGCTCTGAATCTGTAGGATAGAAATGAATTTGTAGACGTAGGGTGAAATCAAAGTACATGAAATTAGACATCTTAATACCAGAGATATAATTACACATTAAAGAACATAAACTTGTCACAGAACAAAACTCTCAAAACCAGAAAGTTGACTGGAGGAAGAAAAGGATTCTACTTACGTTTTTGCCAAAGAGAAGTCCAAACACATAAAGGAATCTTGCTGAAGAAGTTAAACAACAAAGTTTACACAACACATTTAATTTGTCCTCATGCATTGCTAACATCCAGACAACCATTTCTCCTTGTTAATCTACTCATACAGTTCCTACTGAAATAACCAGTCAGCCACCCTCAACAGCAACCAAGAAGCACTACCACAAGCCTATATGTATGCACTTATTCAAGGTTTCTTTATTTTTAATATTTCTTCATGTTTCAGATGTGAAATCAGTACATTTTCCTAAATTATAGGTTTTTTAAACTGTTAAGGTAGTTTTCCTTAACAGGGAAGAACATGCAGAACTACTTTACCTGAAAAACAGTGAGAAAGATCTATTCATGTTTCATTATGGTAGGTTGCTACTCTTGGAATTATTGGTTTTATTTTTAATTAATTCCTAGGTGGTGATGGGTTTGGTTTTGTTTTGGTTTTTTTAGTTTGTTTTATGGGGTTTTTAAGATCTTAATGAATGCTCTGGTACTTATTTAGATTTAGATTACTACATCATAGCTGAAATCAATTCAGAAAAAATACTGTCTAAAATCGATTACATAATTACAGATAAGCTACAATTAAATATATTTATTTAGGAAAAAAACCCCAAATAAACCAGCACAAATCCAAAAAGCACTAAAAAACCCATCCAACAAATACTAAGTTTAATCTCAACATATAATGACACCCAAACAGATTAAAAAAATTTCTTCATCTTAAACAACATACTTCTTTGCTTTGAAATATTTTTCAGACATTTGTTCATTTTATGATTTTCTCTCTTGTCCAAGCTACATGCTGGAATAGTCTCACAAGTGCCTAAAATACTATTCCAACCTTTCTCTTTTCTTTCATTTCTTTCAAGACTGCCATTATATTGAAATCTACTTGCTTTCCCACATGCTGTGTAAAGATTTTAAGTGATTTAGATATCTCTATTTTATTTGATAGAGACTTAAGAATTTGCCATTCATATTGGTTCTACACAGAAAGAGGGCCCTAAACAATTATCCTATTCCTCTCAGTGATCTGTATAGTACATATCAGTGCAAATTGGAAAAAAACATGAAGAAAATAGTGGCAGTAAAACATGGCTGTAAAAAAGCTTTTTGTAACTTAAGAAGTGGCAGCTGACATCCAGAACACACCACAACAGAATACAGGGACTTCAAAGAACACATGAACCTGCAAAAGATAAAATTCTTACATTCCTATAATTTGATTTATTTTTCCCTTGAAGGCAACTGCTAATACACCATAGGTTTAAGCAATGCTTTTTTGTATAAAATCATTCTTCACTAATAGATATATTCACATTAGAGTTCCAGAATAGTTTTATTTGAATGAAAATGTTAAATTATGAAAATTCTGCACATTTATGGTATTTGTTATCCAAGGAATTCAAAATACTTTAAAATATTGATTTGAAGATGGAATCTGAATGTTAAATTTAAAAGTCACAATTTACTTCTGAAATATTTGCACTGATGTTTTCAGTGAAATTATTTAGATAACTCCCCAAATGTACTTATTTAAAATTCATTTATTCTTCTTAAAACCACTAAAAGTATGGACATATTACCACTTAGAGGAAAATACATACAGTATTCCTGTAAAGTTCAGTACTTAAAAAAGTATCTACTAAATCAATCAAGATTTTCCTTATCCTTTTAAAATTTATTAGTAACTTGTGCAGGTCACATATTTTGAAACTACACAAAGTAAATTTTATAGGAAAAAAATCAAGCTATTGATAAAAACAAGTGAAATTAACATTATATGTGGAAATTAATCCTCCCCCACCCCGAAACAGAGTTGATTCTATTAAAAGTGATAAATGGAATGGAAATTAAAATTTTAATGAGGTGCTTGTTAATCCATTTGTTCACATCTAATTTGAACTTGGTTAAATTGCTACTTATTATGAATACTATAGATATGATTCCTTCTAAATCTCAAGGGCAAACAAAATGTTAGAGGACTGCTTGTCCCAAGATAGGACCACAGTATATTATCCAAGCTTCTGAAATTAAGCACTGGAGCTATTTCCTGTGATACATTTCATTTAAGAAAATTAATGACATTTTAAAGCAGTTGGTTAAGTCCTTTGACATGGTAATTGTCCATTCCAGAACAATAGAAGAAATATAACCAAAAGGAGACTGCCTACCTGCCATTGATCATTTCCAAGACTGGAGGGCTTATTTGTACCTATTGCAGTTCCCAAGGACTTTATCAAGCAATAACATTTCTCTTAGTAGGATTTGGAGATATTTTACCTTATTTGTTTCTACTTGATATGTGTATAAGAATGTGGTACAGACACATATCAGTGATTTCTCCTGCTTGAATTTATCAAGCATTTTAAAAATATAACCTTACCTAGAAGACAGCACTCAAACTACAGTAAAGATAGGTCTGAATGGGATTTTTTGCACAAAAATCAATGCAAGAGCAATTGCAGTAATGAATAATGTACAATTTCATACAATTCCATTAAAATAAGTATATTAAAAGGAAAATGCATAGGTCTAAAAACAAAGAAATGTCACCATTAAGTTTGCATAGACACATTCCAAAACGGGGTCCCTGAACTTTTCTATTATAACACCTCCTTTATTTAACTAGTTGGGCATGAATTTTCAAATAGTTCTATATGTTTATTTTTATCCCACAACCTTAAACTCATTTAAAACAATGTACCTTGCAATATTTCAGTTAATATTGCAGCTTTGAATTTTTTTTTGTTGTCAAGATATGAACAATAATTAACACTTACATATAAGAACTAGTAAAATTCAGCTGAGCTCGAGTCAGAGTTTGGAGGTTTTGCTTCATATGTAATAAACTATCTTTTTTCCTTGGAATACATTTCAATTTTACTGACAGAATTTGTAACACTTCTGAAAATTTCTCTATATAGTACATAAAATCTATCATATGATTAATTAAATTGTTATCTTATAAAATTTCAATGTTTCTTGATATTGGAACCCAGACTTAAGGCTTTTTATAATTATTATTATTATTACTACTTCTTAACTATTTTTATTTTACCTGAAGAGATTATGCCCAGCTAAGTTAGTGGACAATCTAAGTAATTTGTTCTGCTGACCATATAATATTTAACCGAAAATGGATTTTTCTTTTCTTGGCACTTTTGCCAGTATATCTTATTGGAAAATAAAATTTCAGGAACCACCACCACCTTTATAAAAATATAATTTACCACATTATTTAAACGAATATTTAGTGAAGAACAAATTGTAGTGATGTACTTACAGTCTGAGAGTTAATCTTTCAGCATTATACACTGTCTTCCTTTTCTAAATCTTTAGCTACTTTCTATTCCTTTCTGTTCTCGCCACTTCATATTTTCACATCTGTATCATCAAAAACTTATTTGGAATTCTAAATCTTACATATGCCTGTTGTGACATGATCTAGGAAAGGGAAAAGATACAGAGGAAGGATCCTTTCAATTGAAAGCTAGGTGCAAGGTTTGACCCATTTTTCCCTCATTTTACCATCACTTCTAAGTAATAAGAGCTCATTTTTTCTCTTCCTAGTATATTTATACTTGATTACCATTAAAAAGGAATCTGAAGAAAATACCCTAGGAAAAAAGCTTGAAATTGCAAGAAAATAATTGTCTGGATAATCAGCAAAACTCAAATAAATGCAGTTTAATTTTAGGGCATTCAGATCAGAAAAAACAAACTTGGAAGCAACGCTAGATAGTTAATATTACTGATACTACTTTATGTGAAACTATTTCATTCATTTATGCTACCTCAGTGGAGGAGGGTGTAATGAAGCCAGGGTAATAAATCTCTAAGAGCACAACATACATTTTGCAAGGGAGCATCTGTTTCCACATTTAGTGATAATCTTTGTCCATTGCTCAGGTATCCCTTTTTTATAAAACTTTTTCATTATGGCTTCAAGAGCAGTGAATGCATACCTACTATGACGGTAAATCTTGAAGCTTCTAGGAAAGGAGATTTCCCTCAAACTTACCTAATTAATTTTTTATTTAATTCCAGTTTTGTTGCAATAAAATACTAATGTACAGATTGAAGAGATAAAATATTAAAAAAAAACAAAAAAAAACCTGAGTATGGGAATGTACTGTCCTATTTTCCAAGCGTCTTCTTCTCTGACATAAAAAAACCCCAACATTTCTGCAAATATTTATATGTTGAATAAGTGTCTGAGTCTAATCTTGCTTACCTTTGATTTAGACATTTGAATTCCCCATATTAGGCTAGGATATGTTACACAGATTAACAGATTACTCACAGAACGTGTTGACACGAACCCCCTTCTCTATCACACTGCCCTGGATATAAGACATATCTTATTTTCCAGAAAGCATTTTTAAAAATCTAACTGAAATCCAACATGCAGCAAGTTCATACAGGATCAGCAAGAGCCAAGGGTTAAGCAGGCCATAACCTGCTCAGAGGACTTTGAACTAAGCAACAGCTCATGCGCACAGTGTGAAATGGCTCATCTGGAAAGTAGATCATCACATTAGAAAAAAGGCAGGGGCATGCATAGAGTTGGGAAATTTTATCTATAAAGATTAGTTCTTTATGATTGCTGAGGTTCTTGTTTGTTGTAGCTTTTTTTAACTTTTCTTTGAGGATTTCACTGTCCTGAAGGCAGCTTCAGAAAATGTAACATGTAGGTTTTAACACTGTGCTAGCAACTAAGATGTGTAAGTAAAAGTTTCAAAGCCAAGTTACGTTATTAAGTAATGAGGCTGAAAAGATGGACATTCTTTGCGAATTTTTGGCCCAAAGAGAACAAGTCCAGGATTCCCATTAAATTATAGACAGACTGCTAGAGACAGCCAAACACTCCCACTCAAGTAAGTCAATGGGAACAAGAAGAAGAAGCCTCCAAGAACAGTCAGTCATGGGCAGAAAAAAAATTCTGTTGAATGTTGTCGAGTATACCGAATAATAATACTACTATTCTAGAACAAAATATAAGTGGCAAGTTGCTTGCATTTCTACAAAATACACATGCAACAGGCAATCTGCAAATGCACAATAAATTCACTGAGTCCAGACAATATTTGATTTGTAAATTTTAACTGTATTCCATGTGCATAGTAAATATCTAATCCTTCCCATAACTGAGGAGTAAACAAAAAAGTAGGTAACAGTAGACTGCTTTCCTCTAAGTAATTCATTCATTCATCTCACTGATAGTTTTTGGCTGGCATCTTGACAACATACCAAATTTCAGCAGCTGGTGGTTATTCATGCAAGGTACATAAATAACGCTGGTGGCACCAGTTAACCCTTTCCATCACTCCTCCCCATAGCCATTCCTAATTGTGTTTCATAGGAGATAACTGAAGACAAACTACAAAGCAATGCAACTGTGTGGACATGTTGGATTCAAATCAGTTCTGAAGGTGAAGCTCCATGACACAGGTGGATCCGTCGCCTTTCCTTTTTACTTTTTTGAGCACTTCTGAACCAAGAATCACATACTGGGTTTATATTGTGCATCAGCTTTAGAACAGAAAACTGATCCATCTATTACTGAGGTTACTAGGTAGTAACCCGCACCAATAATTTATTGTCATTGCTCAGAGATATCCCTTCCTGCTGATCTGGGGGGTGGGAGACGATTACTTCAGTTCTGCTAAAGAGCTGAGCTAATTAGCACTACAATTTCTCAGTCCTATGCAATTTCTATCACTTCAGTCAAGCTCTCTTGAAAGAATACTGCCTTTCCCAGATAGTAAGGCAGTGCTGGTGCACTTTAATCTGTCTGTGTTTATGTTGAAAACCCCTGCAAATGCTGCTCATGGCAAAACTAACATGCTCCAAGGCTACACTAAGATTTCACTTTGTGTGGTAATTTTCTTGATAGCTGTCCAGAGCAACTCAAATTCTGTGAAGATATCTTCACTGTCAATTTCCTTTTGTATCCATTATCACCAAAATTTCTGCTTTTCTTGTAAAAATCTATCAGTAAGAAACAATTAACATCTAAAACACTGTGAATGCATCATCTTTCCAATGTGGAAGTGCTTTAACTAAGAAAGAACACTTACAGTTCACCATCGGTCAAAAGGACATATATTATAGGTGTTCAATATTCACTAAATACTTCTCAAATCCAGTAAACATCACTGAAGAAAATTATAGAGATTTACATGTTGAATAGTGAAAAGTCAAATTATTTCTTATGCTTTTTGTCTCTCAATATAAATGCATACATACAAGGAATATATTTTATGGAAAAAAAAAAAAACAACACAAAAACCAACCAAAAAAAAAACACCACCAAACACCAACAACAACAGAAAATCCCACCCCAGCAGCTATTGAAACTCATTGAAACCCTACAGATTTTTTCACCAATCCATGCTAAAATAACTCTCTTAACCTTTACAGCAACCATCAGCAATCAACAACTGTAGCAACAGTAAGGAAAAGCTGTCAAAACATTGTATATTAATCAGTTTTTAAGCCACAGGTTTTTACATATCCTAAGTTATCGTTATTGAAAATACTAGGCAGACTTTGTAAACATAAGAAATTCTAGTTTAATTTTCATGCTCATCTGCTGAGAACTAGCTCTATAAAGTTCCACCCTTGGTAAAATATACCAAGATTTACTAAAATTTCCACCCTTGGTAAAAGAAACCAAGATTTACTAAAATCACCAATGAATGATGTAATCAGCACAGTTATAGAAAAGATGTGTTGACAAAGTTCTCCCTAGTAAAAAAAAGATTTTGGCAGTTAGATGTGAAAGTTGATAATTTGATGGAAATATACATAAATCTCTCTTATTGGCACATTTTGTGTTCTTAATAACCAATTTTTAACAGGAGATAAAAAATCAAAATTATGTAAATAGCACCACCACATACCTGAGAATTTTTCTACTAAACATATGTTATGAGGATGGAGTTTAGCAACCACGCTCAAGTACATTTCAGTCTCCGTGATGGAGACTGTAAGTTGCAACCAAGATACCAGGTTATTTCACACGTTTTCATATAGAGCTTTTAACGCTTTTCCATTAGACAAAAAAGGTAAAAAACAAAAAAATACTTTAGGAAATATTTTGAAGCTTTTCTCTCCCTCTGGCCCTTAATTCAGATAAAGTAAAAAGGCAATATCCAAAGGGTGCTGGATATATTAGCCAAGGTGGGGAGGAAGGACACCAGTATCTGGGGCAGTATTTTGGCATGTGTAACAATGAGTAGGTCTTCTGCCTACAGATTTTAGGTGCCTGATACCAAGAATGGAGACTGTGATTTTCATAGAAAGGGATTATTTTTTTAATCAAGCAGAGGAATCCCCCTAAGACTCCCAACAACCACAGCATCTAAGTGCCTAGTATTTGCTGATGTGCATAGTCAAGGATGTTAGCTCCATGGGCCCAAGACATCAGATTATATTATGGAAAGCAAACACATATAAGTTTCCCAAATCTCAATATATTTGTGGGGCATCAAAACAACATATAATGCTTGGCTTTACTTGCCTTGCAATTACACATAATTTATAATTAGTGTTTTCATCTAATGTCTAAATGGGGCACAGAAGAATTGTGAGGACATGGCTGAATATAACCTGCAACAGAATATTAAGCAAAGTGAACAGTTACATGAATTCAGAGGCTCCTGCTGCAAATATTAGCTAGCTGGGTGGTTGGGTGTTTTTCTCAAAATCAAAAAGGATAAACTCTGTAGGAAGGGGCACACTGAAAATATGCACATGGCAGATTAAACCAATCAAAGATGGTCTGCCTTAAAAAAACCCACAATACTCATGTTCTAGAAGTGGTTTCAGAAAGTCCTTCTGCTGTAGCAGCCACCTTGTGCCCACATGAACAATATTGATTTTCATTTTCCTGGACCTTTAGCCTGAAAAGAAAGGTGCTCTGTATTACCGTGTAGATGGGAAGGACAGCGAGCAATATTTTAAGCTAACTATGAAATTACATCCAGAAATCACTTTCCTTATTGTTACAGAAAACAGTCCTGCTGTTTACAGCAGACCTGTGTCTGCAGATGAAGAAAAAGAATCCACACGTGTGACACGAATATTTTGCACTGGACATTACTATTCTACACTTATATGACTGTGTTAAACTGGAAAGAGATTGAACCAGCACAATCCTTAGATAAAGCACATGACCACCATAAAGAAGGATCATAGTTCATGCAGGACCACAAATCAGGTTCTTCGTGACATGGAACATTGAGACAGAATTGCACTTGAGCATAATTAAGGACTAAAAGGATGATTACAGCTAGTAATTCTGCCCCATTAAATAAGACCTGACAGACAGAGAGGTCTTGCTGCAAATGCCTGACATTCGAATCTGGCAGCTTGCAGTTCACTTGGAAGGAACACAGAGTGGATGTGAGAAGTTAGAGAGTCCAAACAGGAAAAGGCATAATTGCAAAGAAAAACTGCAACCATAGATCAAAGCAGTATTGACAGCCATGACTGATGCATCTTGAAAGACTTTTTAAAGCTTGTAGTATAAGAAAGTAATGCATCATGCTTAGAATTATAGAATATGCAGGGTTGGAAGGGACCCACAAGGATCAATTATCAGCTCAAATCTCTGGCCCTATGCAAGAGTCACACCGTCTGCCTGAGAGCATCGTGCAAACACTTCTTGGACTCTTGTTAGGCTGGATACTCTGACCACTTCTCTAGGGAGCCTTTTCCAGTGTTCAGTCACCCTCTTCCTGATACCTAACCTAAGCCTCCCCTCACTCAACTTCATGCTCTTTCCTTGAGTCCTGTCACAGGTTACAGGAGTGAAAAGCTCATTTTTCACATTTTTTTGAAAACGTTTTTTCCAACTTAGGACATATATTTGAGGGCAGCTCTCATAAATGTGTCACTCTGGACCTTTTACTCATGTCCCAGTTGTTAAGAGAAACTGTTGGTGGCAAGTCAATTCACACCTCTGTAAATTTTACCTTAGAATTTTAAGAGTGCTTTCTTGGTGGTGGGGTGGTTTTTTGTTTGTTTGGGTTTTGGGCTTGTTTGTTTGTGTTTGGGTTTTAGTTTGGTTTTTTGTTTGCTTTGGTTTGGGGGTTTTAGGTTTTTTTTGGTTTTTTTTCTTTTTTTTCTTTTTTTTTTTTTTTGTGAGGTTTCTTGGGTTTGCTTTGGTTTTATTTTATTATCTTTCAAACAAAAGTAACATGACCTAGACTTTTAATTTCTTTTTACATATTCTATTGTGTATTTCTGGCACATATAATACACCAGAAAGTGGGTCTGCTTCAAATAACACATTATAACTTGCATTTTTTGCGTGGGTTTGAGATCAGACAGCTAAGTAAAATCAAGTCACTCATGCCTACAACACAAATCTAAAGGTACAACATGAAGGCTTATATATTTAGGAATAACTGAATATATGTGATCAACAAGAAAATCAGGAAGATGGATTTCGGAAGACAAAGTAGATAAGAAAGCATCACTGGAACAGCTGTAGTGCATTCAAATATGAATTCGTCATGTGGAACTCAAACTTGACTAAGGAAAAACACAAACATATTTGCAAACAGAAAGAAACATGAGAAACTAATGCCAAACTGCATGAATAAACAAGTAGTTTACAAAGGAACACCATCCTTTCAGAGCAGACTCTGGAAAAACAGTTTTGTGAGAACAGAATGTAAAACACGATGACAGAGATGGATTCTTCATTCCTCCAGTCTTTTTTATTTTTAGATGTCAAATGCCAGGATTTTCTAGTTTGAACAGATTGGCAATGAAAGAAAATACATTCTTTCTTGTGACTTGTAGGAAAAGGCTTGGTAAGTCTCAGTTTTGCCTGACCACTACTCCCCAGTGATGCTTCACACCAAAACATCTACAGTTCTCAATATCAGTGACAAGTCAGCAGTATCTAAAAGCAACTGATCAAACTGCTAATGGAGCCTAGTGAATTAATCACCTTCCCAGATAACGAACACTTGTCTGTACAAAGCTTGAAAACAAAACACAGCTACTCTCCTTCAAGACTTATCATATTTTACACTGGCATTACAAAAAAAAACTGTGGGGAAAAAAGCTATCAGGAAATACTTGACCCCCAAATTAATGCCACAAAAATCAGTTTGTAGGTATCTGCAACAGTGACAATCTACATTTAATGTTATAACTGTAAAGATTATATCTGAAGCTATTCAGCCACAAGTAATTTCTGCATTCAGGAGTTAATTCCACATTGCTGTACAGAGGAATACCACCACACACATGACCTACTCCTTCTTCCCTCTGTTGCACTGTCACTGGAAATCCTTGAAATAATAAAGAAACCCTAAACTTATGTCCATACCAATGCACCCAAAATATTTCCTAACATTTCATTTGGTCACCAGGAAATCACAAAAGTTCACTTGGAAGGTGTGTTCACACACACACACACACTGATTAAGTAAGTGTAAGTAAATAAGTGTACTGAGAAGGCCAATGGAAGTGATTAGAGAGTCAGCAATATTGACATGTAAAGAAAAATATTTGAAAATTAAAAATACAATTTCAATACAGAGGATTAAGTAACATCACAGACAGCCACTGGGATACTAACAATTACACATAATATTTATATGACTGATTTTTGTAATTATTAAAGAATTTGAAATTAATTTTAAAAGGAGTATCAATAATAATTATAATTTTTAAAAAGTAGAGAAAAGACTGTGTCTGAGTATCATGAAACACTAGCAATAAGACCAGCAAAGCAGCAAAAAGCATCCCAGGGGAAGCAGTGGAATCTCCATCATTTAGGTTATTTAAAACCAAACTGAACAAAATGTTGGAAAATGTTCTGTAGGGAATAGTTCTGAATTTGTAAGGAGACAGACTGGATGACCTAACAGGTCTCTTTCCATCTGTAATGTCTATTACTCTGCAATTGTCTCATGTCCTCAATCTACACATTAAGCAATCCCCACATAACTATAGTGCCAAATGGTTTGGTTCCAAGGCTCCCACTTTTTTTTAGTCATCATTTAAGACTAGCAGAGCAGATGCTACTTAGGAATGAAAATGTCCATAGCAAGATCAACAACAAGGAATAAAACATAATTCTGAGGCCCAACCACATAATTTCTCTCACACCAGCAGTTCTCAAGCTGTGTTAGTGCATACAATGTAACAGGGTACCATTAGGGGAGTATGCACAGCTGGTAAATGGTTTGCAGCTCACCTCAGTGTTCTGCATTTTTAGTATGACTTGGATTTGTGAAATCAGCATTGTTAAATCCTGTTGCAAACTACTGCGCATCTCAGAAACTGATGAAAAATAGTTCTGCAAAATCTTAACCCCATTGTCTCAAGCTTTACACTGATGACAGTTTCTGTCAGCTACAGTAATAATTTAAGCAGTATCTACCTCTGGCTTATTCTCATCACTCAATCTTGACTGTGTTTACAAATCTTATTTATGTACTGCAAGCAGCACCAGGAAGAGGAAGGACATTCATTATTACAGACTTTACCCGCAAAGTTCTTTTCTATAACTCCATAATCTGCAGTATTACTTAAATTGGGAAAAATCAGAAAAAGTGTTCTTTGATCGGGGATGGCTATTCTGTTTTCATAATGGAGAAATAAATTCGGTTTCACATTAACAAATCAATGTGCTTCTGAGCATGAGTTTGCAAAGTGTGAGAAAGACTTATATTTATACCTCTCAACACAGAGAGGAAGGTTTACAGAACTGAGACAACCAGCAGTCACACCTTGCTATTTACCAGAGGAGGGGCTTTAAATGTTTAAGGGCCCTGTTAGTCCCATGATAGCTGTTTTGTTGTTTATCATAAGGAGCATGCCATATGTAGAACACCTTAAAGTTGGCATGTTACTTGTTTTGAACTACATTTTATTTAATACCAGATTAAATATATAGATTTGAAGGGTTTCAGTTTTCTAAATATGAAAGCTTTACTTTGAAGAGTTTTCAAAATATTCAATTAAGTACTGTACAACTGAGTAATAACTTCATTGTTTTTTTGTGAAGAAAATAAAATTTAAAAATATTTGATGATTTTTAATTTTTATAGCAATGCTAACATGCTTTTTACATTGTTTTTGACTTTGCTTCTTTTTATATTCACACAGGGAGAATTAATCCATTAGCATAGCCAACTTGAATTCCCTCCTGGCACAGCCTATGGGAGTTTGCACATGGCACAGGTACCTCAAATTGTTTATATAATGTAATTATAAATTTATATCACTAGAAGTTTATCCATGACCATGTTTATTCCAGAATAAAAATATCCATAGATAGACCCATAAAGATATGTAGGGAGGAAGGGAGAAAGGGAGAAAGAATATGGAGGGCTGGGAGACAGGACAGGAAACAGATTAACTAGAAACATACCAGCACTCCATGGGTCCCAATAATGTCTTGTTGATCCCCACCATCTGGTCTTCTTGGTGGTGATGGTTTCCCACTAAAAATACAGAATCCAATGGATTAATATTCATTTGGGCCAGGTGGTAAAGCCCAGGTACCTCCCCTGAGGAGGTGCAAATTTGACATTGTTTTTTTACAAGACTTCAAGTCAGTTGTATCATTTTGCATCATGTGCAGTGCTCTGGTGCAGGGTCTGAGGTATCTTTTTGGGGGCCTTGAATAGACCATGACATCCCCTCACCTGTCACTCATGTTAATGTCCTGTACATGTGCCTTTCCCACAGTGGGGGGACCTGCAGCTGAGCCGGTTTATGTGAGGGAGGATGGGCATTCACTGCCTCTCATCAGAGGCTACACACCCAAAACCTCTCCTCTTCCACCCTGGGCTGGGGGGAGATTCTCTGCAAACCTGGCAATGGATAAGTCTGGAGCCATGGCTTCCACCCTGAAGCTGCTGGGCTTGGCTCTTCCAATGCTCTCCCAGCCTTATCCATTACTTTCCAGAACAGAAATGCTTTGAACAATAGTGTCCCCTTTTTCCTATCTCGAATAGCCTTAGGCAGTTTGACTCACAGTGCAGAGTTTCAGCCAGGAGGCCCATTCATGTTGCACTTCCATGGGGCAGCATTATTTACACAGTTTTGCTATAATAGGCAAAAGTCTCATAAAAATGTTTAAGCCATAAATCAAAACATTTCACTCTCTGACAGTTGGAAGGGACCTTCAAGATAATGTAGCTCCAAATCCTCTGCCATGGGCAATGACACCTTCCACTAGACCAGGTTGCTGCAAGCCCCATCCAGCCTGGTCTTGACCTCACCACCCACACAGCAGAGAATTTCTTCCTAATATCTAATCTCTAAATTTATTCTCTCATCTCAATACACACTTTTTTCATTGCTATTATAAATTAATGTTACATAGCTTTCTCATACAGTGTAAAGCAAAATAAAAAAACTATGTTTTCTAAACAGTGTTGCATATTTAACTACAAAACTAAAATATTAAATTTAATTACATATTTATTATTTATATCTAAGCAAAATGGATAAAAATACTTTCTACTTCCCTTTGGAAGCTTAAAAAATGTATCAAAAACATGAGATATGTGACAAGTGAAAAAATACTGAAGAAAATCTCAAGTTCATATTAAAAAATTTACAAAAGAGGTGCACAATCAGGTTAAGTGTAGCACCTTGTTTGAAACAGAGAAACACTAGAACTCCTAAAATAAATCTTGTGATTGTCTTAAAAGAAAAGCAATACGGGAAGAAAAGCTATTATAATCTACATCCAAAAAAAAAAAAAAGTTTACTAAACCAAATTGCTGTAAAAATACAGAATAGACTAAAATTGAACAAAAATGAAAACCCAAAATTAACTATTTAATTTATCTTTTCTATTTACCACCTGTGAAGGTTAAAAGAAAGCAAAATAACTGGGATGTTATCTTGGTCTTTAAAAGCACTTATTCCATATTACTGCATGATGTCAATTATGTGCTCCAGGATACATTCTGCAAGAAGCGTCATGCAATATGGCAATCATGGCTTACAAAAGATGTAGAAAATAAACCCAAAAAATTACTACTCATAACATACAGCAACATGCAACAGAAAGTCTGCAGCTTTGTATGCACAGGATGAAAATTATCTTATTTTTAACATAGTAGGAAGAACAACAAATGTTGCCATGTTCAAACCAAATATTGAAATAAACTAGTCACATCTTGTTTTGACACTAAAGAATAAAAATACCATTTTGTATAGTACCTTATTTTCCACTCTTGATTTTGCTTCATAGAAAGGAACACAATCTCTTATGGTATCTCATATATATACTGAATTCCAAGTATAAATCACAGAAATAACATGATATATAGATTATTAATATATATATGTTGTTTATATAAGTAGCAAATTTATAATTCATTTAAATTTTGAATTAATTTTTTACATACAAATTTTTAAGCTACTTGTCCTTTAAATGAAGGGACCTAAAAGAATGTTTCAATTTTTAATTTTTTCAACATTTTTTAGATTTTAAGTTTTTTAGCCTTCAGGGCTGAAATGGACAAGCTGTTTGCTTATGCGGGGTATTGCCTTTGTAAATCCATCACTCTACCAGGATAGCTGGCAAAGCTACCTCCGATAATTCTAGAAAATGGTCTCAGGGTAGAAACATCAGACATGCCCAGGAGTGATACACTACTTGTCAGTTCAGCTAAAATTTACACAACACACAGCTAGAGCTAAAGAAAACTCTAACAAATTATATGGCACTTGGATAGCATACTCTATCTAGTAATTTATAAGCACAATGAAAATTTCTTCAGATGGAGAACAATTTGCCTGTTTATGGTATTTCAGTTAGTTTTATAGATTATTGTGGTTTTAGCTCTTCATTTTGAATATTTTATTTGAGGAAGCCATATGACAATTAAATGAGGTAGTGGTAAGTATTGGGTATTGGTACCCTTATGCAAATGCAAGTCAAGACTTTTTTTCCTTTTTTTTTTTTTTTAGAAGACTTTTCTAAAAACATCTGTTATCCCATATTCACATTTTGCTTTTTGCATGTGTAAACATCGTTGAGATGCTGCAAGACCTGGCTGTCTATCAACTCTTGCTGTCTCCCCATGAGGAGGCAGTCGTTGTTTGAAAAAAGGTTGCTTCTTGCAACTTACAGCTGCTTCTTCTTCCAGGGTTCAGATGGCTGACACCAGAACTTAGCACCAACTTATTTTCTCTTACTCCACACTCCCATCCTACATTCTTGTTGATGCACTGTGAATTTACAGACCAGGTTTCCCACCTTTCAGTAAGGTGGTCATTTTTGTATACTTATTCACAGGAAACAAGGGAAAGGATTCACTACACCATGGGAATGCCCTGATGAAAGCAGACATGCTCAGACTGTAAATGAAGGATGAATCAAACATCTTTCCACCTGCATCTCAGGTACTTTGCTTTCTTATTGAAGAAAGACATACTGAAGGAGCTAAAGGGATGCTGGAGTGGTCACCTAACATTTTCACCTTCCAATCTTACAATCCATTTACCTCTATAAAGATAAACCAAATATAATGAACTATACTGGTAGTATATACATCTACCAACTGCGCACAAGTCAAAATATGAGAGGCAGAGTCATATTAGCATGTTAGCATATTAGCTGGTTACTCTTTTTTATTGACTTGACTGTCAGTAAAAATGAATTTGTCTGTCAGAGACAATATAGATGCAATAGATGCACAAAATCCATTATCAAACTAAACTAACAAACTCGAGTTAAAAGCAAGAATTCCCTAGAAAAGTGCTATAGTTGCTCCAAAATAAAACAAAATGCATGATATATTTAATTGAAGTTTCTTCCTTGCAGGAAAAGGAGAAATTCCTAAAACATAAAATCTTTCCAACAAAGTCAACTGCAACTCCAAGGGCACAGTAAGGCCATGCAATACGATGTTCACATTAGAGACAACCAAATTAACACTACATCATCAGCTAATATATTTACATGCCATATTAAAATAATATATAGAAGCAGTAGTTTCAGTCCTAATAACTTCATTAGTAGCACACTGTGAATAGGCTTGCACTGCAAGTTGCAGATATGCTTTTAAAATCCCCTCACAGGTCCTATTTTCAGTATCTTCCTCCCATTAGCTGAGTGCCATACCTGTGGAATATCATTCTGAGCAGCTATCTAAGAAATGAATGACAGGTCTTCTGACACAGTATCATTCATGTTCAGGTCTACTGTGCTCTTTCTTTACTTGCCTTGATAATTATTTTGCTCTTTCTCACATAGCTAAGAGGTCAAATTGTAGATTTAGAGAACCTAAGGCTATGAAAATTATCATGACCATTTATGCTGACCTCTTGAATAATGCAGACAACACAATTATATAATTCCAAATTAAATCTATAAAATCCTACTAAAGGAAAAGTTTATTGTACTGAATGACTTCCAGTTCCTATTTAAAGGACTTCAAACTCTAAAGAGCTTATCATATTCCTAAACCATTTGTTCCACTGGTTAAGTACCCTGAGTATAAAATTCTTATCTAAATCTGCCGAACTTCACCTAACATGCATCAAACTGCTCAGCTTTCTACCAGATGAATGATGCTACCCCCAGAAACCTCCTCTATCTCTATATTGTTGTAAGTTTTACTTAACTCTCTTCATAAACTTTTTTAGACAAATTAGCATTCTAATTTATCTCAGTCATGGTGGTAATATTAATCCAATTTAGTAAATATTTTGGAGAAACAATAAACCTAAGCTTATGGAAGAATGCATGGGCAAACATACATATCGAACACAGAGGCAGAAAGACTGAATAAGAATGACCATAAAGCTGGAAAAACGATCTTACATTAGCTATCTAGTCTAGTTTCAAAATAAATCATTAGACTGAGCAATTTCATCATCATATTCTTGCAAAATATTCAGCTGTTTGAAGCAAAATTGTATTTTGATCATTTAGGTCATTTATACAGACTTTAAATATTCTTACTCACAAACAAACTGAAAACAAAAGAAAAAAATAATTTTAAAAGTCATTCAAAATTTTGGCATTTACCATGATTTAATATTCTTATTTGTTCCTAATCTTTCAACATTATTTCATCACTCCTTTCTTACTAATTGTCATAATAAGCATGACTATGTAAGTTAATATGTGCTGAAAAAAAACTCAGCTAAACAGAATGAAAATATTTAAAATGTAGCTCCAAGGAACAGCTGAGGAAAAGGGAAAGGTTTCATACTTTTATTAAAAGTTTAGACTGAACTACAGGTTAAAGGTTCTGTAACACACTAACAACATGGTTTCCGTTACAGTATAGCTTTTGGATGGTTACCAAGACAAATTTTAGCTCCTTGTACAACTCTAACCATGTTTGCTATACAAACTTCTTTGCCTTATTCAACTCCTTCCATAAACTCAAGACTGTCACCAAGACTGGAAGAAGTCAAATTATTTTTCTAACTCACAGTGAAAATACAATATTTATCATTTTTTACAGCTCCATTCTTTTCCCCGCGTGAGCAGGATTTTGTCTCCTTTGCAAAGCACCAACATAGTTTCAAATATATAATGATTAATTTTTATATCAATATTTTAAAACTCGAGGTCCTATACCATGCTGGCTTTTATAAACTTCCTACAAGTGAGCTAAAACAGTATTGTGCTTGACCAAACCAGATTTCACATGAAAGTAATAACTACACAGAGTTAAGCTTAAAGACTAAATGACTGAAAAAATGCTGAAACCTTATAAGGACCAACAGGGGGAAAACATATACTCCAAAATGTATGGAACCATAAAATAATTTTCTGGAACAAACTAAAAATACTATCAGGATAAAAATATAAAAGCAAAATGACATAGCCAATTATAACCAATGTAAAAATGAGACACTCAGTTCAGACAGAGGAGTTTTTCTGAAGTGTTACATTAGTCACAATAAAGTAGGCAATTTGAGAGAAGTCTGAATTAACAAAAAGCTGGAATTTTAACAAGAAAATTCACATGTTGATCAGAACTTCATATTCCTAGAAACTCTGAACCAATGTAAGTCTTAAACTTTTTTTCCAAAGGAGGACAGATAATGACGTAGTTCAGAATTATAACAGCTGTTCCATAAGAAAGAAGAATCACTAATTAAAAACATAAGAAAGACAGGACCTCAAATGCTGCTTCTCATCTGGCTTCCCCTCAAGGCACTTCATTTTTATTGCCCCCCCTTTGGACACTCTCTCTAATAGCTTAATGTCTTTTTTAATATTGTGGTGCCCAAAACTGCCCCCAGCACTCAAGGTGAGACTACTCCAGTGCAGAGCAGAGTGGGACAATCCCCTCCCTTGCCCAGCTGGCCATGCTGCGCCTGCTGCACCCCAGGACACGCTTGGCCCTCCTGGCTGCCAGGGCACTGCTGACTCATGTTCAACTTGCCAACAACCAGGACCACCAGATTCTCTTTCCACAGCACTTCTCTCCAGCATCTCAATTCCCAGTCTGCACATCCATCCAGGGTTGCCCCATCCCAGGTGAAGAATCCAGCACTTTCCTTTGTTGAACTTCATACAGTTGGTGATTGCCCAGCCCTCTGATTTGTCAAGGCCTCTCTGCAAGGCCTCCCTGGCTTCGGGGGAGTCAGCAGCTCCTTGCAGTTTTGTATCACCTGTGAACTTGCTCAGCATCTCTTCCAGTTCTGTGTCTGAATCATTTATAAAGACTTGGAAGAGCACAGGGTTGAGGACGGAGCCTGCAGAACCCCACCAGTGACAGGTCAGTCTCATGTATTCCCATTCACTGTAACCCTTTGTGTGCCTGACTTCATGAGCCAGCTGCTCACCCATCCCATGATGTGTTTATCCAGCTGTGGGCTGGAAATTTCATCCAGAAGGATTCTGTGACAGATGGCATTGAAAGGTTTACATAAACACAAGATTACATCAATTGGCTTCCATTGATCAGCTGTGTGGGTTACCTTGTCACAAAAGGAAATCAGGTTTGAAAAGAAGGACCTTCCCCTCATGAACCCATGTTGGCTATGACCAATGACTGCATTGCCTTTCAGGTGTTGTGCAATACCTGCCAGAAAAATCTTCTGCATAACCTTACCAGACATTGAAGTGAGTCTTCAGACTAAGAGGCCTGTAGTTTCCAGCATCGTTCTTCTTGCCCTTTTTGAAAACAGGGACAATGCTGACCAGATTCCAGTCAACTGGGACCTCTCCAGAATCCTAAGACCATTCAAAAATCATCAGGAGAGGCCTCATGATGACATCAGCCATGTCTGTAGCTAATGTCAGATAAATCCCATAATGCATTATAGATTTATAGGGATCCAGCTAGAACAGGAGATCCCTTACAATTTCAGGGTCAGCTGGGAGTTTATCCTTCTCACTCATGGTCCTCCAGCTCAGGGTACTGGAATCCTTTTAGTCCATCACTAGTGTTGAAGACAGAGGATAATAAAGCACCTTGTCTATATCCCTGTTCCTGGGGTGACCATCCTCATCCTCTAATGTGCCCATGTAATTTCTGCACTGATGTGTGCCATTAATGTATTTTAAAAACTGTTTTGACTGTTCCTTACATGTCTGACCAGCTTCAACTCCAATTGAGCTTCAGACACACAAATTTTCTCCCTAGAGTGTCAATCAATATCTCTGCATTCTTCCCATGTCACCTGACCTTGCATCCACAGGGTATATGCCTTCCTTTTCTACCTTAACTCCAAAAGATTCCTTCTTAGCCAATCTGGACTTCTGCTTTGTCTGCTTGACTTCTGACATTTTGGAATTGCCTATTCCTGTGCCCTTAAGATGGACTTCAGCACCTGCATAAACATCTTCCAAGGGGACCTTACTAACTATTTTCCTGAGCAGCCTGAACTCTGCTCTCCTCATGTCCAAAGCTGAAGTTGTGTTGGCACTTTTCCTACCATCAACAGAGATTTTAAACGTGACTGCATGGTCACTCTGGCCAAGATGGCCACCTGTCATGGCTTGACATGGAAGTGAATTTTCTCAGGAAGAAGAGGGTCAAACCAATCAGTGGTCACATTTGAGTATTGGAACCTGGAGTGACCACTGAAGGCTGGACACGCCTCTGAGAACACAGAGGGGTTAAAAGCAAGAACTCCCAGGAGAACTTGCTCTTTGGATCTGGTCATCAGAGAGTGCAGACCTCCCCTGCCCAGGCACAGGCTGGGTGGGGGACAGGAGCCATGTGGCCTGGGGAGGTAGGCCAGGGGGTGAAGGGTCTGGAACCGAGCTGGGCCAGCTCCTGTGGACGGAAGGGTGGAGAACATCTGAGATGTCTTTGTTCCCCGCCCCCACCCAGAGGGAAAGAGATGGAGAGCCTGAAGGCACCTGGAAATTTGCCAGCAAAGGAAAAGGAGAAGCAGGTGGAAGGTGCCCAGCCATGGGAGTTGGAGTCCTGGGCCGAGATTTCAGCCGTCTGGGGAGTCCGAGACTTTTAACCCTTTCCTGGGAAGTGAAAGTTTTATGAAATATTACTCCTTTTCGATTTGAAAGAGAAAAGAGACAGTCTGGGACCTGAGATGTTAGGAAAAGAAGGTTGGGGGGTGAATGATGGAGTGGCTTTTGGCTGGACTCTTCTTGTTAGCCATAGACTGAACCAATCCTTCCTCCAAGAGAGACTGCATTTTAGGGGGATGCAATGGTGAGCCAAGAGACTCCTTCAGCAACTACCAGCACAGGAATGAACAGAGGAAAGCTGAGGAGGTTGTGGTGATGCCCTCTGTCTTAAAGAAGAAGAAGATCTCTGTTTCCACCCTTGGCCTCATGGGAGGAAAAAAATGGGGGAGATTGTCGTCCCAAAATGAGAAACTGAACTGTTGTTCCTGTTGGTCCTTGGCAAAGAATCCTTAAAGGAGCCCGATGAGCAGTCTGTCCATGCATGGTGGTGAGAGCACTGCAACATGGAGAGAGGAGAGTGTCACACTGGCAGATTTTCTCCAGGCAGCACTATGTGTGACATGGAAACACAAGAGGTGGCAATTGTGTTTCCTGGGGGGTCTGTGGTGCAAGAGAGACTCCTCTCTCCCTTGATGGACTGATTATCTGAAGGGGGATGACTTGATTGAGGGTCCAAACTGTGTCTCATTGTGGTTTGCTGGAGTTGGGGTGGGGGGTGGAGGAATGTTTTGGAAAGTTTTCAATCTGGATTTAGTGTCTTTTATCATAGTAGTTGCAGTGGCTACGTGCCACGACCTCGGGCAGATGGGATGAGCCGGCTGGCACTGCCCGTGTGAGGCCGGGTGGCCACCACAAGAAAGGCACCCCAGGGGAATGGCATCTGCCAGCCTGGTGGTGCTGAGTGCTGCTGAGTGGGTTGTGCAGCTTCGGTAGTTCCACACGCTGAGAGGAGGTGAAGGGATGAGAGAAGGACACTTGTCTGCGAGCCCACAGAGTCTTTATTTTCCCCAGATGGGGCAAGAACAAGGTGCCCTCTAAGTGGGTGCAGGAACAAATGCCAAAGAAATCAAAGATTACAGCAACTCAAAAAGGGGGTGGGCAGACAGGGGTGAAAACCTGTCTCACCCAATGAGGGTAAACCAGAGAGGGATGACACCAATTACAACAACCTATGATAATATAACGGGGTGGGCACAAGGTCAAGGGGACAAATAGAAAAGCTAAACTTGGGTGATTGATACAGAACTTTCTTGAAGAAACTGGGGTTGGTTACAGGATTGACAGCCAAAAAGGTATGAACATACTCTGGCTGATGGAACCAAATAAGGAGAAAACAGGGAGAGGTGAGAAGATTGACAGATAACTGGGGAGCCAAGTGGCAGGAACTTTTGGGGTAAACAACTTGGATCAAGCCAACTGTGAGGGGACAAATGGGAGAGCATAAAGGCTAACTAACATTGATAAAACCAACTGACTAAATCAAACCACACCACAACAAGTAGTAGTTTAATAAAGTTCTTTTTCCTTTATTTCTAAGCTGGGCCTGGACTGCTCTGTTCCTGATCACATCTCACAGCACTTATTTGGGAAACTGTATTTTCATGGGGATGCTGGCATTGTGCCAGCATCAAACCATGACACCACCAATCTCTACGTGGCTCATGAGACCCTCTCTGTTAACAAGTAAGAAATCAAGGAGGCATCTCTTCAGGTTGGCTATCTTGGTACCTGCACCATGAAGTTGTCATCCAGGTGTTTTAGGAATCTTCTGTACCTGATTAGGCCAGGCCAGAGGGAGGATCAGTTGTTCATATAAGTGTGTGTCTACTTGCTTGTCATTTTCTTATTATTAACTGTCAACAGAGCTATCAGAAATTTATGTTTGTTCACAGTAAATTACCTCAAGTAAAACTCCCCAATTCCAGATTGTCTTATGACTGTAATACCTTAAACTTTATTACAGTGACTTAGTTCTACTAAATTTGAGAATGTGAGTTCACAAAGATATTACAGCTGTTGTGGTAGTCAGTAAATGGGAAGGACCAGGGGATAGAAAAGTAAGAATAATCTCTATTAATTCCCTGATGGTAGAACAGGCAGACTACATGTTGTTCACTTTGACAATAACCAGCAGCTCATTCAGCACATCCATTCTTTGGAATAAGTACGAGCCTTTTGTCCAGCCAAAAGAAGCAAAATGAAGCTGAGGGTACTACAAGCATATGTTTCAAAAAACATGAGAAAGATATAAACAAATGCAGAAAGATTCAAAGTATTTGAGAGTGAATATATAAGGATATAAGTAGTGCTGGTTTAGAAAGCTCTAAGGAAATCTAAGTGTACTACTAAAAGATACCAAAGAAAGGGGAAGGTAGCAAAAAGCTAGATTTTATAGTGTCAGGATAGAGGAGCTATACAATACTCACTCCCTGCCCCCACCCCCAAATCAAAAAAAAGGTAAAAGAAAATTAATTCATTATTTTTGAGCAAAGTATTACACTACTCTAACAACAGAGAAATAATATAGAAAAGGAGAGCTATGGGTTATCTTGCCATTGTGAAGATGTATGCTTTAATTTCATGGTGCTCTGGCCACCAAGGGTGGGTAGACAATAGGGTACCACTCACCCTTCCTGCAACTGCCAGTGTTAGTCAGGAATGCAGGACACTGGGACCAGGCATGACACCATGAGAAGTCTATTTCACATCTTTGTTCCCAAGAAAGCTTACTGAACTCTGCAAGATCCACTCCTACACTCTCTAAGATTTCACTCTAAAAATGTCAGAAAGTTATCTTTGATGACAATTATGGCATCTTCCTTCAAGACTCATTTCCAATTATTTTTTCCCTAGCAATTTTGATACTCCTGATTTTACCCTTACTATTGGCCAGATACTCCTTATAAGACTGTGTTACATTCTTACCTTTTACTGGGGGAAAAAAGAAAGTATCTTATGAATAGAACATTTTAACAAACTAATTAGTATGAACTTGAAAGCTATTAACTTGTTGAAAAAGCTATTAACATATTTTCATTACACTATCTTGCAAATTAAATATCTATGAGACTCCAGAATCAGGTCTTTATTCTGAGAGGAAATGTCTCTGCATAGGAGATTAATTTTTTTCCTTTTAATTAGAAAAATAAGGTAACATGACGAATATGTATGTTTCTCTAAGACATATTTGTAAGTAGTGTTCATGGCACAGTAAATGGTTAAAGATATCAGACTTTAACTTATTCTAAAACCTAATACTTCAGCTTCCCAAATAATAAATCCTTGCTTTTTGGCATGTTCCTATGCTCATGTGAGACTACATTTCTTGTTTTTGTTAAAGAAAGGAAAGAATTACACATATGAACAAGAAGAAAAATATTTCATTTACTTAAAAATAAAGCAGAAAGAAAATGCTTTGTCCTTATCAAAAGTGAGAAAGTGTTTTGCTTAAAACAGTAAACCTCATCATGATTTAACATAGAAGTTTAAAATAGGCTGTTATGGGATTAACTATCTCAATACAGTGCATTCACGAACCCTGCAAAAATTCTCCCACCTTTGGACAAGCTGTGAATCTTTATAAATTATGTTTTGCATATGCTCAGCAAAAAGTTCTTTCCAAAAGCAAAAGTATATAAAAAAAAATAAATCCCTTCTGAGTACTCAAGCTGGAGATGAAGGAGCTAACAGAGGCCTTTTGTAGTTGCCTCTGTTCCAGGCTGTTACAATGCCAAAGACAAGAAGAGACAGCAAGGGAACATTTCCTTCTGTGCCTTTTGTTCCTTCAGTAATTGAGTACTGAGAGTTCATAGATGAGAGAAGCATAAAAGAGGTAAGGAATACCAAAGACAATTAGGTAGATTAGACAGACAACTGCTATTGGAACAATGATACAAAAGGTCAGAGGGAAAAAAATCATCAGAAGAGGAAGAAACTAAGATAAGAAACTTTTAGACCTGTATTTACTCATGAAGGACAATAAGCAAAATCAGGACACAAAGGTTGGTATGATGTCAGGGAAAGAAAAGCTGTGTTAAACAGATGTTGCCGGCTGAGAGGAGGTAGAGGGAAATTCTGTACCAATATAACACATCCTGCTCAGAAACTGGAACTCGGACTGAGTTCGCAAACTCAAACATCACCAGCGGTCAGCAAAGCATGGCGTTTAACAACCTCTACAAGTTGACCCCAGTATAGATAAATATCATTAGTTCTCTCTCAAATTAAATACCAGATGTCTGTGTTATCATAATGAACTATGTGAAGATCAATATAATTCCACATCATGTATTTTTTTTTTAGTTGGCTTCACTTTAAAATTTAGCAGTCTATATTGATAAAACTACATTTTTTCTGAGGGATTGTTTTCTAACTGGATAATATTATATCCCAAATTACTTTTATCCTTTCCTTCAAGTCATAAGTCACTGCTAGAGAAGTACTGATATTACATCTAAAACTGACAAAGAGTTGAAATGGCACCACCAGTAATGGGGCAAATATTCTTTAAAGATCTTTTTAGTGCTTTGCAGGAAATATCATCATCACTGTCCCAAGTCAATAAATAATTCTATTGCTCGATAAAACATACACTGAATTTGTCCTTCTACAGAAAAATAAAATCTTGTTGAATAAATGTGAGATACCAAGATCCCACTGATCATACATAATGAGGTGAAACAAATAATCTAATTCCTTACCAAATACAAAGTCCTTTAAGAAAAATATCTTTAAGCCAATTTAAACAAGAAATCGATATTGTAAAAGCAATCTTTGTATTTATCATGTTTTCCTTATCTAGATAATAAAAAAGATAAGAAGTAGATGTGTTTTGATCAATGTGACCCCATTTTTTTCCATTCAATTCTTTCTCTATTTTTCATTGTTGGGAGGTTCATAAAAGAGTATACCATCTTCCTTAGTTGCATGGAACACTAAACTGAAGTTTACAGAGAAGTTTAGACTTCAATAATATTTTTATTATCATCAAATATAATGCAGAAACATGATACTGTCCCTGCTCTTGTGAAAACTGACACAAAATAGGAGACACCTGTGTAAAGTGATGCAAAAGGATGCCAAGAATTCAAAACTA